GCTGCTGAGCCTTTTTAACAATTTGGCTGACATTGAGGTTCCATTTGAGACTGGAGGATACAATGGTCCCCAGGAACCTGAAACTTTCCACCCTCTCCACAGTTTTGTCCTTGATGGCAAGGGGCTGGAGCGACTTAATATTTTTGCTCCTAAAATCAACAACCATCTCCTTGGTTTTGGAGATGTTAAGGGACAAGTTGTTAATTGTGCACCACTCAACCAGCAAGGACACTTCTGTTCTGTAGGCCATTTCATCATCATTAGTAATGAGGCCTACTACAGTGGTGTCGTCTGCAAATTTAAAAATTTTCACTGAATCATGGTGAGAAAAACAGTCATTGGTATAAAATGAGTATAAAAGGGGAGACAGAACACACCCCTGGGGGGCGCCAATGCTGGTAGTCATTGATTTTGACAAAAGGCCATTGACCCTAACCACTTGAGATCTATCAGTTAAAAAGTCAAGAATCCACTTACATATGGACTCCTTGACCCCCAATCCCAGAAGTTTGTCACACAATCTCATTGGAATAATATTATTAAAAGCAGAACTAAAATCAATAAACAAAACCCGTGCATATGTAGCTGGCCCCTCCAAATGTTGAAGAATATTATGAGTACAAAGAGAAACTGCATCTTCAACAGACCTGTTCTCCCTATACGCAAATTGGTGAGGGTCAAGTGACGTTACTGAGAGGTGATTAGCTACTAGTCGCTCAAAAACTTTCATGATAACAGAGGTTAGGGCCACTGGTCTGTAGTCATTCAAACAATTCACATTCGACTTCTTAGGCACAGGAATGATTACAGCTGATTTGAAGCATGCTGGAACTTTACATACTCTAAGGGACCAATTAAAAATGTCAGTGAAAACATATGACAACTCATCGGCACACCATTTAATAGTGGCAGCAGAGACCTGGTCAGGGCCTGATGCCTTCCTACAATTTTGTTTCCTTAACAATGATCTGACCTCTGTTTCTTCAGAAAAGGTGGTTCAAGAAGGCCTGTATCATTGAGGAAATTAGAGCTGACTGCACATTCAGAACATATCGGTCAGGTTATGAATGTAAGTCCCATGCCCGTTCACACTTACATGAGCGCCCACACTTACAAGCTGCCCCATTCAAGCACAGAGAGCACACGCTGTGCTCATTCCTCTGGTTCAATTTCTCAAGCCCACGCAATGCGGCGATCTGAACCATCAGACCATTCTGCCCCAGTTGCACATATAAAAGCATGGGATGCGATTCCAGGGGTATCAGAATGGGTGCTAAGCACTATAAAGCAGGGATATGCATTACAGTACACTCGCTATCCCCCACGCTTTCGAGCACGGACCGCGACGACAGTGAATGCGGAAGTAGCACATCTACTTCGCTCAGAAATAGCAAAACTGCAGTGCAAAGAGGCCATAGAACCGCCTTCTGAGCGAATCAGGCTTTTACAGCCATTATTTTCTCGTGCCTAAGAAGGACGGGCCTCTCAGACCCATACTAGATCTTAGGTTTATCAGTACACTGCCCTGCCGTTCTGTCTTTGGCATCCTGTAGATTCACGAAGTGCATGCAAGTTCACGAAGTGCTCTCGCTCCCTTGAGAAATCAGGGCATGCAAATTTTGAACTATCTGGACGATTGGCTGATTCTGGCACAGTCAGAGACAGAAATATTATCTCACAGAGCTGCGCTCCTCAGTAACCTGGAAAGCCTGGGTCTCACGGTCAACTGGACTAAGAGCTCATTACTGCCGAGTCAGTCAATTTCCTTTTTAGGAATAGAACTGGTTTCTCTGGCCATGACGGCTCACTTATCAACACAGCTCGTGTGCCTTTCTAGAAGGGCTGCACCACCCCACTGAAGACATTCCAGAGGATGCTGGGCTACATGGCTTCAGCTGCTGCGCTACTTCAGCTGGGTTTACTGTGCATGCGTCTGCTACAACGCTGGCTAGCCGCTCGTGTGTCACACCGAGCTTGGGAGTCAGACTGCGAGCGGATCAGAGTAGCCCTGGTTTGCGGCCGGCTGGTACCAGCAGGGAGCGATTATGCGAACTGTCTCATACCGAAAGGTCTCATACCGAAAGGTTGGGGCACTCTCTTTGAGGGCAGACCAGTCTTTGACCTGTGGTCAGACCAGAAAAAACTCCTCCTTATAAACTATCTGGACATGGTAGCGGTCGAGAACGTGCTGATGTGTTTCCTCTCATTCATACAGGACCACCATGTTCTAGTCCGCTCGGACAACATGTCTGTAGTGTCCTACGTGAACCGCCAGGGCGGTGTCAGATCAAAGACTGACTGTCCAGGGACAATTTTTCCCCGTGGGAATAGTCCCTGCACACCCAAACAGTCCACTTGCTATGGCGCCTTTTTGACAAAGCGGAAGTCGACCTCTTTGTGTCACAGGACAACGCTCACTGCCCAAACAGTCTCTCTGTTGCCACAGGTGATCAACAGAATCAGGGTAATGCGGCATTCAGTGCTCCTCATAGCCCCGCGATGGGAGAACCAGACTTGGTACCCGGAGCTGACAGGGACAGCCCCGTGGCCAATTCCAGTGAGAACAGATCTCCTCTCTCAAGGTCGTGGCTCGATCTGACACCCCCATCCAGAGCGTTGGTCTCTGCATGTATGGTTGACCAACGGTTACCCCTTGCCCTGCAAGACGCAGTAATGTACACAATCACGCAGTCTAGAGCTCCTTCTACCTAAATGGTCAGTGTTCTCTAAATGGAGCGCTGACAAAAACCTAGACCCACGAAAGTGCGGGGTTTCACGGTTGCTTAAGTTTCCTTCAAGAGCTGTTGGATAAGGGAAGGTCCCCTTCCATGCTTAAAGTCTATTTGGCAGTCGTTGCAGCGTTCTCTGAATCAACGCACAAATGAGCCCAGTCAATTAACCCAGTCAATAGGCAGGAACGAGCTTGTCATCCGCTGCTTTAGAGGAGCCAGGAGGATGAATCCCCGTGCCCCTCGTCAGTTCCTATGTGGGATCTTTCTTTGGTCCTCGAGGCCCTGAAAGCATACCCCTTTGAACCCTTAGTATCTGCAGATGTAAAATACTTATCACTCAAAACCATTTTTCTTATCGCTCTGTCATCAGTCAAATGTGTGGGGGATTTACATGCGCTGTCTGTCAGTGCTGCGTGTCTTGAGTTTGGCCCAAATGACTCAAAAGCCATCCTCAAACCTAGACATTACTATATTCCTAAAGTGATTGGCACTCCGTTCAGAGCACAGGTAATTTCCTCTATTGGCTCTGCCAGCATCTGATAGTGAGAGTGATGTTAATCTCCTCTGCCCGTCAGAGCCCTGAGAGATAACATTACGCGTTTTCCCCCCTTTCAGGCACTCTGGAGGGTGCACCAAAGGTCTTGCTGCCTCGAAATAGATTATATCTAGATGGATAATAGACGTGATTGCAACTGCTTATGCGGCAAAAGGTCTGCAATGCCCTTTGGGCGTCAGGGCTCATTCCACCAGAGGCGTGGCCTCTGTGGGCATGGTCCAGCTGAATTTATATACTGTACATATGCTTATTCCTACTTATCTGGGATCCCCAGACTTTTCTGGGACTCATGAAGTGGATGCGTTGACAAAAGGGTTCCCGAAACGTAAGCTAAACTTAAGCATTACAAGAGAACCTCTCATAAGAGAATGAATCGGTTACCTAAAATAACCTCGGTTCTATCGGTTCCCTAAAATAACCTCAGTTCTCTAGATGAGGGAACGAGTATTGTGCAACCTGCCACGAGCGCTATTTTCGCTTCAGTCGATGAAAACCAGATATTCAGCCTCAGAGTCCTGCTTATATACACCCATTCTGGCGGACTAGGACACGGTGAGGGCAAGAGCGCCCTTGATTGGACGTGACGTCACGTTGGGCTCACTGGTAGGCTGCTGCAGTTGCCGCAGGGCAGCCAATGAGCAGGCTAGACAGCCTGCTCTAGGTCTGCTAGCTGCTGCACTGTGCCGACAATGAATACAAAATGAAGGATAATTTTTTGGCTTCAATATCTTAGAGTAAGCTAAACTTACACGCAAAAGTCTGCTTGCCACGGTCCATAATGTTTGAACGAAACAGCAGCGTGAGTGTGCCTCTAGACTGAAAGACTGTACTGCTAATAGTTTGAAATACTGTAAACACTCAAGCAGCCAGCCTCTAATAGCTCAAAAGCACCACAGAGATTTTGACAGAGATTCTGTTTCATTTAATTTACTGTAGAATAGAAAGTATGTGTGCTAAACATATGACTGTGAGAGAACGCATCTGTTGCCATGGTTACTATGGCAGTACGAGCAGAATCCAGGGATAACGTGGATATTACGTCATTGACAGGCGACAATGACCAGGGACGAGCCATTATTTAAAATCGGAATTTCTCTGAAATTAAAAATATTTGTGAACTTTTGGGATATTGTAAGTACACAACTGCAGGAAATATATCACACCGTGCGAGTTATTTTTGCATATTTTATAAAAATATGTGTACATATTGTACTTTTAGTGATTCTAGTTCCTTATCATCCAATTAAGTAATCTTTTGGTACTTTTGAAAATAAATACTATCACATTACATTTTCTGCCAACACCATTCTTGACAGATTTCACATTTTTGGTTCTTTTTGGACTGGACAAGATGAACGCAATAACTTGTGGTTCAGTAAGTGCATCTGATTAATTAAGCAGCAGCTGTTAAATAATTTAGTAACAGTAATCAGTGTTTTTGAACAACTATACATCACATCAATTCTGACAACACTGAATTTGATGAACAAATCATTGCGTTCCAAAAAAAAAAAAAAAAAACATAATCCCAAACTTATCTGTAACACAAATATCATGTGAAATTTAACTGGGCCAACGACTAGCCCATGAGAAACACCATACTGTCATATTTGATAAAGTTACATGTTTTACATGCAACACATTCCACAAAAGTATACAAGGGAAGACCTTCAGATGTAAACAGAGTGGATAAGATGAAAATGGGTTGGTACCTGAGGGTTGTCCATGTACCACACCAGACTGACCTCCAGTCTGTCCAGAATGAAGTAGCGTCGTAAAAACTTGCCACTGTTCTCCATTTCCTCGATGTCTAGAAAGCCACAGATCCGATTCTGACGATCTACGTACGGCATATCTGAGACTAAGCATTACCCTGGAACACAAAATAAAATGATTCTGATTATCAAGGATATTAGAATATGTGAAGGGTAGATAAATAGGGGGGTGGGGATGGGGGGGGGGGGTAATTAAAATAAATTTGGCATCTTCGTGTGTGAGCGTCTGGCATTTCCTTTGATGTCATTCGTGGTCATGCTCCATGGAAGTGACACCTATTTCCTTTCAGACCTAGTCTGTGCTGAAGAAAACCTTGCCAGACGAAGCTGTATGAATACAAATGACTTGATTGTGACATTACCTGAGAATGCATGCACACTTAAACGGTGTAATTTACCTTTTACCTGCAGCCTCTCTAAATATCATAACAGCACTAAGGTAACTGGGAATATTGCAGAGGTTATGCCATCAGTGTATTTAAAATGTGAGACCAGTCAAATGGTAAATGGTAAATGTACTGCATTTATATAGTGCTTTCATAGACCTTATGGCCACCAAAGGGCTTTACATATTGCCTCACATTAACCCATTCACACACACATTCATAGAACGACGGCGGTGTCAGCCATGCAAGGCGCCATCCAGCTCGTCGGGAGAATCTGGGGTTAGGTGTCTTGCTCATGGACACCTCGACACTTGGCCAGGGATTGATACCATTGATCCGCTCTACCAAACTTGATTGTCTTTTCATGAAAAAACAAACACTGTTATGTTGTCTTGATTGATATTGTGAAGCAGCTTTGATACAATCTGTATTGTGAAAAGCGCTATATAAATATTTGATTTGACTTGACTTGAACCACCAACCTTCTGGTTTGTAGACAATCTGCATGAACCACTGAGCCACTGCCACCCTACTTGCTGCAGTCAAGTAATGGCGAACGTCAGACCTTTTTATAAGGCCCTTTGATGTGTTATACAGATTGAAAAAAAAAAAAAGCATAATGTCTGTAAAACCCCTATCCTTCATTTCCAGGACAAATTATAAATGACGACAATTAGCCAAGCAGAACTCACAAATGTAATGAGCTGCTAACAAAGCTCTTTCAGTACTTCTGGCATGAAAAACAAATGGATTTGGAACCTTCACTTTGTCACGTACAGCGTAGGCAGTCTCGAGCTGAAAGACTGTACCGCTAATAGTTTGAAATACTGTAAACACTCAAGCAGCCAGCCTCTAATAGCTCAAAAGCAGCATAGAGATTTTGACAAATATTCTGTTTCATTTAATTTACAGTAGAATAGAAAGTATAACTAAACATATGACTGTGAGGGACTGAGAGACAAAAGCACAAGAAGAATAAGAAAAAAAGAATAAGAAGAAAATCAGTACATCATAATAGGATTTCAAGAAGAAAAAGAAAAGAACAACATGAACAAGAGGAAACAAGTACAATAAAAATTACAGTCCATGCCTGGGGTTCTCAACTCTGGTCGAAAAAGCCTAACAAACTATATTTATTAATTTAATTTAATTTAATTTAATTTAATTTAATTTAATTTTATTTTATTTTATTTTATTTTATGTGTGAGTGTCATTCCTGTCCTTACATTGAATGTACTATCCACCAAAACTTTGACACTTCAAAAAGTACATAGAGAGTTTGCAAAAGTAATCCAAGTCAAAGACGTAAAACAGAAGGAATATCATACTTAGTTTATGTGAACAACCCTCACTGGTTCACATGCTTGCATCACAATCCAGAAAAAGACTCAATGAAAATAATAATAATAATAATAATAATAATAAAATCAATGGTTCCTTCCAACACATCAAACAAGCACGTTTGAGCTTACGTTTAGCATATATGATATAGCCTAGTTTATGTGCTCTCAAATAAAGCAATCATGTCATCATGACGACTGGGGTTGAACCACTAGATTCTATGGATTAATTACAAACTCCTTATTAGCTTTTAAAGCATCAAAGTTAATGTTTTGTAAGAACTTTTAATCATGAGACAGAAATATAACAGGTTTTATTGAAAATATCTTCATTTGGGGTTTTTTCGAAGATGATGTCTTTTGAGCAAAATATGGCAAAATATAAAAGTTTTAGTGAAAAGGTGGTAAATAAACTGCAGACCATTTAGTAAAGAACGGAATGAAAAATATCTGTTTGCCATGCACGAGCGATGTGCTGTGTTACAGGAGAGCAATCTGATGAGGCTAAGCTCCGATTCTTGCTGACATAAATTGAAAAAGCCTAACAAGCTTGGTCAGATAATGTTTCTAGCAGGAGAAAGCTCTCAGCCTCTTTCTAAGTAGCATGGATCCTCAAAAAAAGAAGAAATCATCCACTGGCTCAAAACTATGAAAGATTTCATGTTAACTGCAGTAGAGGAAATTGTGATAAAGTCAGTAACAATATATCGCATCTATTCAGAAAATACTGATGTCTAACACAATGAAAAAGAAATAAAATACTGACACTCATAGACAACAAAAGGTGTCACTAACAGTGAATGAATCCACTGACACAATATAGGAAAGCTGTGTCTGTAAGAATTTTGGATGGCACATTAACAATTGATTTGTGAGCACCACTTGTTTCAAAGGCTCCTTTGAGGCATATCAGCCAGGCACAGTTATTTTCACATACATCATGATTTTGTGGATTCATGCAGGAGAATGATGCTTTTCTCCATGGCTACCATCAATGGATAGCTGTAAAATTTCTAACTCAAATGATTGATTAGATTTTCATGGCCGAAGTGTGTTTTCTGTGTGACAGCTTTCATCACTCAAACGACCTTAATCCGAGATTATAGTGAAGGGATAAAACGGTCGGTGATATTTTAGCTATACTAGGTTTTGTTGTTTTGGAACACTGCAAAAATGCTACACTTTTTCATTTCAACACTCCAGGACTTCATAAACAACGTGTCAGAACAAGTTAAGATATGATGAAACTTTGCAGCAAGGTTTTACGACTTCAAAAACACGCAATTCAATTTACCATGCACTAGTGATGCAGTGAGTTTGTTCACATAAGTGGATGAAGGCTCCTTACAACTATAACTGACAGACATCTAAACATCACCTGATCTGAAGAAGGGGCTTAGTCTGGGGAACACCAACGTTGGCTAATTATATTCATTCTGACCGTTTTGTGAAACTAACACATTTAAGTCAAGCTTCTCAAATATTTGAAGTTTTTTATTGTTAAGAAACTGTGTAAAGGAAGTAGCACCAGATTTATTCCAGTAGTTTGCCCTGATTTATTGTAATGTTAACTTCTGCATTATTTACAGCTTCTTATTTATTTGATGTAGATTTGATTTAGCATAATTGTTCATATACATATTTCTATTTGTTCAATCTAAGTATTTGAACTAAATATCTAAGTCACTGAAGCCTGTTCTGAATGATGATTTCTGAAATGTGGCAGACAGGGGTGTCTGCCAAAATATTGTGCAGTGCCTGGTTGTGGAAGAAGACAGTTGCTGCATAAGCTTCCTCTGGATTCCAATAGGACTGCATGGATAAACTTTATTTTTAATGACGTTCCTGCTGATGAGGTAAAACATTGTCCGTCTGTTCGCTTGATTTCACTGATAATTGTTTTGTAAACAAGACTGGATTTGCAGACCAATTAAGAGTAATGAACGGAATGGTGCAACACACGGACTCTGGGTCGAACATGTATGGGCGAATCATTCCGGTAGCCATTTTACAACATTGGACGCTTTCAAAACAATTTCCCCCAAGTGCATCGACGGGTGAGTTGAAACTCATTATAATATGCAAAACTGTTATCCACTCACAGCAGTGGGCGTTTTACTTCCAAGTCTTCAGTGCGAGACGCCCATAAAAACCGTGCGTTTTTCAGCTAGGCTCAAAACTAGGGTACAAAATAGCCTATTACTTATTCATTTTGATGTTTTTGAATGCAAAAAACAAGCGAACGTCATAAGTTGACCTCAGACAACAATATAATAAAATTTAAAGGGGGTGTTTACTGCTTTTTTTCTTTGCATGATTGTGTTTATTGGGTGCAATATAACATGTATTAATGGTTTGTCTTTTTTAAAAAGTCTTATTTTTCATAAATTTCACCTTTATTATCAGCCGCTTTCTCCTCTGTCCTCTGAACGACTGGATGACTTCCTGAGTCTATGAAACCACTCCCTCAGAAACAGGTAATGGGCTTAGATTGGTTAGTTTGGGCCGGTGTGTTGTGATTGGTTAAACTGTAGCTCACGTTATCCGGAAGGTTAACGCCCATTACCTTTACGGGCGAAACGTGCTCCGGTCCAGATGTAAATAATGGTGTCGGACTGCAGTATCAGAATGAGTCAGAATGAGCCAGAATCAGTCAGACCCAGAAAACGGCGATGAAGAGAGGCAAGCAGAACCTCACCACACACGACTCTTACAAAACGTTTCTGAATGGTAATTTGTATATATTTTTTTTACTTTATACACATTTGTTTTACACAATAGCATTGAACTGACTGGCTCCTAACGTTATAAACAGCGTTGGCATTGGTTCACGTTCTTGATCAAATCGAAAATAACGTCATAATGTATATATACATGAAAATACATTTACAACATTAGTACTTATACAAAATTTAGGTGCATATTGTTTGTATGCGTTTGTCGTAGAATAAAATAGCATAACTAGTAGCCTAGTGGCTATAGAGCCAGCGCTGGCATTTGATAAAAAAATAAAACACAAGGCTACGTCTGGAATTATACATGCAAATACATTTAAAATGATTAAGTCTTAACCTACTTACATGTTGTGGCCCAACAACGGCTGCCTCTGGTTTTAAAGTTGGAACTGCTTCATTTTTTAGTAACAGTTTCTTGTTGAATCCGGCATTCAATTCGTGGAGATTCTGGAAGCGGTCTCTCGTAAAATGCGCAGCACAGAGAGCTAAATTGCGATCGTCATTTTCAGTAGCATAATCAAATATAAATCATATCCATTGTTGACGAAGTACAGCGTCCGTGGGAAGCTCGAACACAAAAGACCGACAGCTGGTGAACATAACTAGGGCTGCAGCTATCGATTCTTTTTGTAATCGA